CACTGGACAAATTGACACCAAATTTGGACACAAGACACCTCACAACCCAATGTATGTCCTTCACTCAAAAATTGATTTTGTCATTTGGGAGTTGTAATTGCTGGGATTTATAGTTCACCTACAATCAAAGAGGATTCTGAACCCCACCAATGATGGAATTAAACCTAACTTGGCACACAGAACTCCCAAGACCAAGAGGAAATACTAGAAGGGTCTGATGGACATTGACCTTGGATTTTTGATGTTGTAGTTCACCTACATCAAGAGAGCACTGTGGACTCAAACAATGATGGATCTGGACTAAACTTGGCATAAATACTCAATATCCGCAAATGTGAATACTGGTGGAGTTTGGGGAAAATAGACCTCAGGATTTGGGAGTTGTAGTTGCTGGGATTTATAGTTCACCCACAATGAAATAGCATTCTGAACCTCACCAATGATAGAATTGGACCAAAATTCTCCCACAGAACCCCCATGACCAACAGAAAATACTATGTTTTCAGATGGTCTTTGGCGACCCCTCTGACACCCTCTCGCGACCCCCACAGGGGTCCCGACCACCAGGTTGAGGAACACTGATTTAAGGCATTGGCATGCTGGCTGATATCCGAACACAGACGCCCATGCCTTGTTCCTTTCATTGCTGGCTGCTACTTCCTATTTATTTATTTATGACATTTATATGCCGCCTTTCTCACCCCGAAAAGGACTCAGAGTGGCATACAAGATGTATGTATATATATATACACACACACACACACAATATATTATTAGCATAGTACAATATCAGTATTATATATTACTATATTGTACTATACAATTATATTGTAATATTATTAGTAATATTACATCTATTTAAATAAAAATGTAATGTTCGTTTGTGGGATTAACAGAACTCAAAAACCACTGGAAGAATTGACACCAAATTTGGACACCGAACAACCCAGTCTATGTCCTTCACTCAAAAAAAATTGTAGTTGTAGTTGCTGGGATTTATAGTTCACCTACAATCAAAGAGCATTCTGAACCTCACCAATGATGGAATTGAGCCAAACTTGGCACACAGAACTCCCATGACCAACAGAAAATACTGGAAAGGTTGGCTGGGCATTGATGTTGAGTTTGGGAGTTGTAGTTCGC